TTTTTTTTTTTTTATTACTGTCTGTGACTAACTATGGATAATAACGCATATGAAGTCTTGTCAAAGTATACGAAGAACTGTAAAATCTAATCGTATTTATGTTTGTGTCCCTGTGTGTGTGTGTGGCATATGTATCTGCTGCTACCTGACCTATCAGAGGGCGAGCTCCTTGATGGTGAACATTGCATTGAAAGCTCTGACTGCTCCTGCATCCACTCTGGAAAACATTATCCTCCTGGCTTCACCATCTCCCAGGACTGCAATTCATGGTAAACCCCGTGTTGCTCTGGCGTGGTTGCTGTTGCTCTAGATAAGTGCTGCACACTAGTTACTGACTGTTTTAGATAATCTTTGTAGAAATCTCTCTCTCTCTACATTAAAAAAAATCTCCTTTCATTGGCAAAGGAGCTGCTCTCTTATTGGAAGTGCCAGCCCTTTCCAAGAAGTGAGCTGTTCACAAAGACAAAATCACCTCTGTTTTTAAAGGGATATTTGATCTGATAGAACAATGTGAGGGTCATACTCCTTCAAGCAGTAGAGAACTACCTGTTTCCTGTGGATAAGACAGACCGGCAGGTTCCCATGTCTGGTTAGTGTCAGCGGTGGTGTCTTTGTTTTGACTTCCTACATTTATTTAACCTCTAAACCCCATTTCTTTCCAAGAGGAGTTAGCTCAGGCACGTCCTTGGAACTTCTTGCAAAGCTAATGAATCTTCCCAGCTGCATGGCTCACGATTTTTCTTTCACTCATGAATGCCAGCCTGAAGGGGAAGGCTAGCTGTTTAAAGAAAGGAAGGGGAATGAGTAATGTATTTCTGATCTGGTTTTGTACACTTGTGAACGTATTTGTGGAAGGAGTTCAGACAAATCTGTGCCCAGATGTTTCCAATCAAAGTACAGAAGGACTCAGTGAAGGTCACCGTATGCAGAAGAAAGATACTCTGTGTATCATTGCTGCTAATCAGAAGTTTTTCATTACCTGCACCACGTGTCACAGAATATGAACCATAACCATGACATTAGCATTTTGTCTTTTTCCCTGGAGCTGTCTGTGGCTGTGACTCTGTCTTTTTCCCTGGAGCTTGGCCATGCTGTTCAACCTTAGTGCTCTTGGGAGATCAGTGCTGCCTGATGAACTGTGTTAGAAAATGCTTCCTGTTTTTCAAATTTGATACTGCTGTGGAGAACGTCATTCCACCGGCTCTGCATTTTCCATCCTCAATGAACTGACTCCCCCCAAATGGTTTTCAAGGGCTGGGATAACTAAGGGAATAAGAAGAATCTAGCACTTCTTGAAACTTAGATGATTTTGGAGATGCTAGGATTGTCTGGCATGGTATCCCACAGACCCAAGAATGACAGCCATCCCAATCGCTGTCAGTCCATGTTACTGGCTACTAGTAGCGCCTTTGGGGGATGGCACTAAATCCACCACCCAAAGATATTAAAGCAGGGACAATCCACCTCCTTGCAACTTGCACAGCAAGGGAAACTAAGCAAAAGGAGTTTGAGTAGGCAGTGTGCCGTTAGAGTGATGAAGGTCTGCTTTGGCAGAAGTCTAGCTGGGCAGCCAAGGAAAGGGATTATTGCTCTCCTGTGATGAACGCGTGGGGCTGTGACTGGAGTAGTATGGCCAGTGCTGGGCCCTCACTGCAAGAGAGAGCATTACAGGCTGGAGAGAGTCTTGGACACTGGAGATGACCACGGCAGAGGAGTCGAACGCGTGAGGCTGTGTCTGGAGTAGTATGGCCAGTGCAGAGCCCTCACTGCAAGAGAGAACATTACAGGCTGGAGAGAGTCTTGTGGAGGACACTGGAGATGACCACGGCAGAGGAGTTTATAACGTGAGGAGAAGCAAAGGGAAATAGATTTGCTTAAAGCCTAATGGGGAAGCTTTCACTGCCTAAAGAGGGGTTGTAAAGAAGAGAGGGCCAAACTCTTCTCAGAGGCAAATAGTGAAAGAACGTGAAGCAACAGACACAAGTTGCAGCAGGGGAAGCTCCATTGAGATGCAAGAAAAATTCTTCCTCCAAGACGGTGCAGCACTAGGATGGCTGCCCAGAGAGGCCGTGGGACCTCATCCTGGAGATTTCTAAACTCAAATGGACAAGGTCCTCAGCCACCTGATCTAACTTTGAAGTTCCCTTCTTTGAGTTGGGGGTTGTAGTATATGGTTTTTCTGGGGGTGCCTTCAAACTTTTTTTTTTTTTTCCCCTATGATTGTGTTGTATTTATAGACATACCTTGAGAACTGCATTTAAAACTCATTCCACACCTGTGGAATGTAGTTGAAAACTCTATTAAACATAGAGCTTTGGCGGGGGAAAACAGAAGTTCTTGAGTTTTGCAACCATTCCAGCTCATATTACCAGCAGTTGCTGTCGAATGATGGTAAGAAAGGATGGATATATTAAGAAACAAGGTTATGGGAGATGGAAAAGATGTTGGGAACTGATCTAATTTCCCTGAAATGAGGGCCCACGTTTCAATTATTTGGGAAAAAGTTGCAACAGAAGATTTGAATTCATGTACTCTCACCTAACTTGTCGTATGTTTCCTAGCATTTGTCGACGTGGCACCTGGATCTGCAGCAATGGGGAGTGCCCAGGTATGTTGGCTCTGCTCTTTTCAGGTTTTGACAAGTAAACCTTGCCTACATCCCTCCCATTTACATCTCACTTATCTTTTTTTTCCACACAAAAAGTGAATCTGTCTTTGTTCTTACTTACTTGCGCCGGTGTGATCCAGGTGGGATCATACTTCTAAGTTCTTCTCACGAGACAAGCCAGACATTGTATTGCATGCTTGATGGATAACAATGAAAAATCCTGTTTGGTGAGAAGAATCGTTCCGCTTCTGATTACTCAGTTTACCCAAGATATAAAGGTCTGTATGTTGAGAGGATTGGCTTTCAGGTAGAGGAACACTGCTGAGTTTCTTTGACCAGGTATCATTCCCTATTTGTCTGAATCAGCATTCTTTTGTTGACGGGACGATTTGAAGTACTGGGAGTAGATTGAATCAATCTTAATACCACATGGGTTTGGGCCCTAATGGTCACGTTACAGATGAAGGAGCTACGGCCCCAGGGAGAAGGTGGCCGCCCTGCCTTCCATGGATGCTGGTAGACTGGAGAGGCAGCTCTGCAGGTGTTCTCGCTCCCCTTCCTCCTTCTCTGCCTCCCAAAACTCATCGGTACTGGTGGCTGCAGTCCCAGTTTTTTGCCTACATGGAGGAATGTGACTTTTTATGCTGTGCATTGGCCAGCAAAGTGCCGCCTTCCTTACTTCCTCCTGATGGTTTTGTGGCCCATCTTGGTTCCTGCACTATGATCAGCCACGGAAAGGCCTGTTTGACCTGAAACAGCATTTGACTCTGCTTGTGTTGTGCATAGAAGGCTTCGGGGAGACAGAATGGGTCTTTATCTTGTTTGCTGCTCTTGCTTTTGGGAACTGAGAGTGGAAGGGATGAGAAGGAGACTGGGGTTATGGCAGGACAGGAAAAGAGAGGGCAGGTTTTTTTGGGTTTGGTGGGTTTGGTTTGGTTTGGTTTGGTTTTTTGAGATGAGACTGTGCAATCCTCACAAATTAGGAGAACTACAACAGTCTTAAAATGGCTATCAAAAAGTCTTTCTTTTAACATTAAGCTTGCATGACCTATCAATGCTCCATTTCCTCCCACTTTAGACTGGAAGAGCACTTGCCCCAAAGTATCAGCAGTTAAAAAAAAAAAAAAAAGTAAAAAAAAAAAGAGGAAGGGGGGTATGCAAACATTCAAAACAGAAATGACACTTTTAGTGAGCTATGCCAAGCAGGACTGTGAGAAGCCCTGTGCTTGGGGCGTTAAGTAGAGATCTCTCCAAGCGCAGGGAAGCTCACTGTCTAAAACACAGAATCAAGGACACAGCCTCAGCTGATTTGTTATGTCTTTTACCTAATGGGCAGCAACGTGTTTAGAAACAAGAACTGTGTCTTCTTCTAACTTCAGTTTTTACCTAGGTTATAGCTCTTAATATCCTTGATTTCTGGGCTACTGTGAATGCTATGTGGGCCAAATTTTTATCCTCAATTCCAGCCATGTTTTCTTCATAGTGATTATAGAAATGAAGATAAGACTAGTATTGGGGCTTGCAAACAGATGTTTATATACAGCTTTGTGCAAGACGGAATATAGCATTGCTGCCTTTTTCTGAGTTGGGGAGCTGTGCCGAATGAGCCGAAGTCAAAAAGAAAGCCAGCTTATTTTTGTACCTTCCGCCGATATATCCAAGTCACTTTTCAGCTAGGTTTGCGCAAGACGGAAGGTTGTATAAGTGCAGCTGTGGTACGTATACCTGCTAACATCTACAGACTGTACTGAGACAGTTCGGGAGGGCAGCAAAGCCTCCCAAAGCAGCAGTCCTTGATAGGAACAGTAACCAAGTTCATATTGTTACCTGTTCTGTTTCCTCTCTTGTTATTGTTGGTTGGTGAATTTTGCGACAAATATTTCTAAAACCATGTGTCACAGAAAGTTTATGTACTTACATTCACAGAAGCTCAAGGCAGTTCCATTATTTTTTTACCAACCTCTTTGTCAGGAAAGGTTTCTTTTATATTGTGGGAATGAATTGCCTAGCTGCAAGTTTGGCAATAAAGCTGGGTACCCAGCTGGAGGTAGCACTTCAGAAGGCAGGGCTGTGTCAGCCAACTAGCACTATCTGGCTAGCACTAGCAAGAAGCTCTCAAGCTGATATCATAATTAAATTAATTATGAAGCCAGTAGGTTTTGGGAAATCTCACGGGATGCATTACACCAAATGGAGTAGACAGAGGGACCCATAAGAAGAAATTTCCCTCCCGAGAGCAATGCCAAAGGGCTGGGACTTTTCTTGGGTAGCAGTCCCTAGCTCTCGGTGCTGCAAACCTGTCCTCGTGGTTCTTACTTGCAGAGAATGCCCTGGAAATCAAACTGCACGTAATATGGTGGGTTATGCCTACTTTTCTTTAAATCTGTTCTCCACATCTGATAGCCAGTTAATTGACTCTGAAGTTGAGCAGAATAACACTTCTTTTACCCTTGTGCAAGTTTAATTGAACAGAAAATAGGATTTCCAGGGTGAGCTGGTAAATACCAAGCCGCCTTACTCTCCAGGGGATGACAGACATCCAGCAGGTACTGCACTTTTCTTAAGACAAATCAGAGCTGTGCAAGGCTGAGAATCCTCAGGATCTGTGAGGCTGTGCTTTAGCACAGGCTGGTTTAAGGTGGTTAACACTGAATAACATGTTGAAGAGGGAAATTTCCACTTGATGTTCATTAGACAGATGTTTTGTAGGACTCAAAGGCAGTGAAGAGAGGGTAACTCATGGGGTGCACCTGCCAGTTTGTAACATTTGACCTTTCTTCATCCTTTGTCAGTGGATTGTAGGCCCAGCACCTGAATTTTTTTCTGGATGAGGACATCTCTGCCCACCTTGTTTGCCATGGGACCATCTCTAAGTATGATAGTCTCCTCACATGAAAGAATTTCTTTGCAAGCTCTGTGAGGCTGGAGCCTCCCTATGTGTTTGCAGAGACTCTAGCATAACAGCGTACTAAACCCCAGTTGTGGCGTCTGAATACTGCCTTCCTGCAAATGAAAAGCCACAACTTACCAAAACATTTTAAGATGTTGATATGTTTAAATAGCCTCTTTTTGTAGTAGAAGGGTGGGTAAGCCAGACTTCCACATTATTCTTTAAGAACTTTAGATGTAGCTATTGTAACTACAGAATTATTTTTAATTTTATGCTAGTTAATTAAGGTAATGATTCGGAGTAAAGTCCAACATAAATTCTGCCCTTGGAAGAACTCCAACAGTGATTATCTTCCAGATCTTCATTCTGATAAGGTATTTTTACTTTAATGTTAGAATAACTTATTGGTATTCAAAGCAACCCAACAAAGGAATCAACACTTTTGGGGGGCTGTGTTCAAGGAGGCCATTGTGAAGAAGGCTTTCAGACACTGTTGCCTTCATAAAATCATACTCCAATGTTCTAAAAAGACCAAGAGAGAGACAAAGAGGGGGCTCACAATCTGCCAAGACACAACGATGAAACAGAGACTGAGAATGAGGCAAGTCTGCAGAAGAGCAGAGCAGCAGTGACAGTCCAACAAGCCTTGTTGCAAATTTTGATTTTTCAACTCTGTAAAAACGCCTGCATTCTGCAGCCAGCTCCATGGATGCAGATGTGCCCTGCTGGGCTAAGTAAAAGTGGATTTAAAGTGTGTTATGTCAAGATGTTGCGAGCTCCTGCATAGAGGCAAAGAGGCAAGATGTTCCAATGTACAGAGTGTGTGACTAATGCTGGCTAATCCTGAGTGTCTTTCACAGCTCTGCCACTCTTAGGCATTAGTACTTCCACTCTCCGTGCCTCAGTTTCCCCATTGTATAAAGAGGGAAACTTAGTTCCTACATAAGAGAGCGTGGGTTGCTGTTTAAAATTGGTTAGTGCCGCCAGCACCCATCACTTCGGTACTAGGTATGACCTAGCCTGCAGAGAGCTTGAGCGACTGCGCCGAATTTCCAGCGCCACTGAGGTATACACGACAGAAGAATTAAATCTGCTTTAGTGCAGAGAGGAGAGACGTTCACTGATGTCCTCATGACCCTCCGTTTGAAACATTATATAGGCTTTTCCGTAGGCGTGAATTTAAGCTCTTGAGTGTGATGTATACCACATTCCCCAGCTTTTGTCCTTGCCTCTGTTACTACTGGTAGTGACTTAGAGAAATAAACAGCGAGATAAACATCTTGCCAGTGCTTTCTGGTCTACAGGGACCTTGGGCCTTATGCAACCTACTCCACTGGGCTGCCTTCCCCTGCAGTGGCTTGGGGACGGACAGATGGACAGGATTTTGCTCGCAGCTGGCACTGGGGTAAATAATGGCTCTCTGCATTTTTCAGGAGAATGCTCTGTCACCGGCCAGTCCCATTTCAAAAGCTTTGACAACAAGTATTTCACCTTCAGCGGGATTTGTCAGTACTTATTTGCCAAGGATTGCGTGGAAAATTCCTTTTCTGTGATCATCGAGACTGTGCAGGTAACAGCAGCTTTGGCTGGCACCTGTGTGCCTCTGTGGATGCTCTTGAGCGAGCAGGAAGGGCTGTGGGAGTATGCTATGAACTGCAGATGCACAGGCCAACAAAAGGACTTTTTCTATGAGCTAATTAGTTTAAATAACAGATGCAGTCTTTCTCCTTAGTTAATAAGTGTTTTGCTTCTCCTCGCTGCCATTCCCAAGAGCCTACCTGGAGACTGAGTTTCGTAATGAGATTTGGAGAAGGAGCCTTCACCTCCTCTTTGCCAGCTGAACAAACAAGTGCAGACGAGGGTGCACCCTTTGCAAAGCACCCCGAAAGCTGTTACCTTGCTAATTCCCTGGGGAAAAGACATTTCCTCGGACACCGAGTAGGATGCACTGGCAGAAGAGTACCTTGGGTTGCTTTCCATGAAATCATATTGGCTGGGGATTTCT